GTTTCATCCAGAGAACGTTCTGTTCTGTTTTTTTTTTTTACTCTCTGAACGTTTTGTTTTACCAACGTCATTTCTGTGATACGTCAGTGAAGCCTTGGTGGACTCAGCCATTAAACACTTTTGTGTTAATGAAAGTTGGCCCCGTATCAGCGCACTTCACTGCAAAGTACGTCAAAAGACTAAATTATTTTGCCTGGAAACGCTGCGTGACCTATGGACGCCATCTGGCAGTAATACCAAGAAACACAAGTTTTCAGAACGCAGAGCAGCTGGTAGGTGGCAGCACCTTATTGTTTTAGCGAAGCGTAATACCTCTGTCACACGTGGCAACTTAAGCGCACTTTGAGCGAGTGTACTTACGCTCACGAAGTGTCAATTTAGCGGTTCGCTGCTACACGAAAAAAAAAACGAAGTGTACTTTGCAATTGATGACAATGTCGATTGACGGATGTGTAGCACAACTTATATTTGTCATTTTTGTGCATGTGTCTCATCGTCGGGCAACGTTGTCTTCGTGGAAGCAGCACCTGTGGCACATGCCATCTTAAATGACCACAGAACAACTCACCTACACAGGTGCAAGTGTACCTGGAAGTAAATAACGCGACGGACGCAGCCGTTGCTGTGCAAGTGCGGCCGCATCCTCCTAGCGGACGTGGCCACAAACAGCCCAATGGTGAAAGTAGCGAGGTTATTGTTGTATTTTATGGCTTGTTTAATACATAACCGTATTCACCATAACAAAAACAATGGTTTAAATATAGTATGAGCGCCGCTTTAGGCAACAGTGTCTTTCTGTACAAACCTCTGGTACCGAGGCTACACAATTTATCGCAGCCGTCGCAGTGAAGTGAGGTTGAAAAACGCACTTGTCGGAAAATGTTCTTTGCAGCGAGTGACTCTAAACTTGCTCGTGTGACAGCGCGTAAATGACACTCGCGGCTAAGTGTACTCGCTCAACGTGCACTTAAGTTGCTACGTGTGACTGGAGTATAAGAAACGCCTGCTCTTTCTTTCAGCGAGCTCTTGATGTGATCTGAATATACGTTCACTGTGATATAATAGAGACCCCAATCTCGATCACTGTCACCAGAGTCATGACAGCGAGCACAGAGTAGCTGCTTACGAATGGCTAGGTGGAGTCTGGGCGGACGCAAAGAATAACACCTACCATCGGTGTTATATGTATCTCAGCTTCACTAAATTGCTTGTTACTGTGACATTAATAAGAAATATGAATTTTAAAAGTAACACTACATAATACTCACGTGAAAATATGCATCATGTTTGCTTTTTGAACGACAATGTTCACTAGTAAGAACGCAACCAGGATATGAAGTTGAGCGGTCGCTCTACAAGGGGTTCAACCTTTGCTCTGGTGGCTGAATCAAGGTTGACACACAGAAACAGAGAGACAAATCTCACGAAAGACCGTCGTTTTTAAAGAGCAGTGCTGCCCTTTGCAGCTTGTGAGCGCTACAACAGGCGCTACATTGTAAAGATGTTCTCTGTGTGTTGCCCTTGAAGTGAGTCGCAGAAATAGGCGTTTGGTGGGAGTGACAACAGTTGGAGGAGGAGCGTGACACTGCAAACAATATTTGTTGCAGTACAGATACTATAGGGCAGCCATCAGAGCATTTGCCAAAGGCGTCATTTCCGGACAGGCTCTGGGATTGAAAAATAATCGAGCCATATATACTATCATCTGCCTCCCGCTCACAGGAGAGGTATCAAAGATGCTCCCGCGAACCTCAAGGAATCTCTCGCAGGGCGGCAAGAGGACTTGAAAACATGCATCCACAAGGCAAGATGTCGCTGAGATTTCAATCTTCGGGAACAAGCTCCTCTCTTACCAGGAGCTAACCAAGCAATTATATCTAATATGCAGGGCCCCTCTTCGTACAGCAAACTAAATAAAGCTCAGGCCATTACGCCAAGGCCCTTACATACAAGAACCAATTTGAACACTCTGGTAATTGACAGGATTTATCCGGATTTTTCTACTACTACAACATGCGATAAGTGCCACGACACCATAAATTTCACTCGTTTGCTCTGACACTGAACACTGAAAAGAGGGAAACGAGGCTCTACGCATTTTCACATTAGGTGCCCAGCGACACATGCCCATCTTGTGGACACACAGCGACACTCGAACACATGCTCTGGGAGTGTAGAACAACTCCTCCCGACTCTACCTCAAGCAAGTGGGAGAGGTCCCTCAGTAGCTTACTTCTCGCCGACCAGCAATGGGCCGTCCAGCAGGCCCACGAAGCGGCCGCCAGGTACTCCCTGTCGGTCCCTACGTGGGAGACGCCCGCTACGCGCTAAGCGCGTCCTGCAGGACCGAAATAAAGTTTTTTCATTCCATTCCATGGACAGTTATCGGCAGTTCAACGGGCCCTTGAAGCGGCTTTGTCATTCGGTCCCAACGTGGGAGCGGCCCGTTTCGGGCTAGGAAACTAGCGCGACCTATTGGACCCTAACAAAGTTATTTCATACACTCATTCATCATTCGAGTATTAATCAAAATGAGGGTTGAGGCTAGTTGCTACGTGCCTGCATGTTCCCGCTCATGTTACTCACGATAGTACATAAACCTCCTGCTCATCCCTGTCAAGACAGGGTGCGCGAGACCACGCCCGGCCACTCATTGTACGCAGCCCCTGCCGGATCGACACTCCTCCCTGCATCATGCTGAAATGGGGAATAATTGGTTGTGTTTGTGATTATGATGTGATGGTTGTGGCTTAAATTGAAAGGAAATACAGTGCACGGGAAAGACCCTTTCCGTCGTTGGGATCCGAACTCAGAATCTTGTAACAACAAAATTGTTACCGAAATTACAATTTCAGTAAATGATACTCTGTATTGTAGTAAATAAGACCTAATAATCTGTGGAAAGACAGCTCAGGCCCTCTAACCGATTTTATTTCTCAGTTTAGATGTCGTGTTTTTGTAGACTTCGTAAAACGTACTGCTACCTTTTCGATTCTCAATACCTTCAATATTTAGCTTCTTACAGTAATATAGTGTGTAAACCACTTGACAATGCTTACTTTTCATATTATTTTTGTTCTTTTTTTTCATAAATCAGTGCTCCAGGCGATGAGCTGGATAATTCTGTAGAAGAAACGGAATTTGTATACCTCACAGAATCTTCAGGCATGCTTTACACTGAACGCCTAATGGCAACAGGCCATTTCATTTTGATTTATATCGGGGATGATTCACGGCGCGCATAAATTATCAACTAGAAAACGCATTTCGGGCTTCCTGCTCCTTTGATGTTGCCATGTAGGGACGTTGTATAAAGGCATGCAAAGGAGCAGGTTTTTGCTACTTCTTTTTTACTTTGTGAAAAACCTCCTAAATAAATCAAGCCATCTGTGACCATTTCAGAAGAACCATAGTAATTTTGTTTTTATATTCATAGTGGCGTATCGATACTCTGCATGCCTATGGCTAAAAAGCTTCTCGTGTGAGGCACGTCATGAAGCCGCCTTCCGATTTTCTATACAACACAAAATTTCGACAAAGCATCCCCCCGACTATATACTGCAATTATCGTAGTCCTTAAGCCTTATTGGTGATTGCAACGAGTATAAATTTCACCAAAGTTCCGACGGGAATTGCCAGTTTCTTTAAAGACAAACGTATCTAAGCATGTGTATTTCAAGCTTCCAGTGTATCTATTCGAAACATGTATTCCAGAGTACTTAACAGAGTATTTCTGCTCAACCGTGCTATAGGTGTTCCCTCATAATTTTCTAAGGTCTTCGATTAGAGACTTGTGCTCTATTGTTCAAAGTCTCGCGTTAGTGTGAGCTACTTGCATATACTTAGCAAATCGCCTTCGCTCAGGTTCGTACAGAAATTTCCCGAAGTCAACTTTAGGTTGACCGCGAAATGCCGATTGCAAAGGTGTGGACACTCGTACTATTTCTTTCCCAATTAAATAGAAAGTTCGTAATTTCTATCCCATTCAATTGCGCATATTTCTGCCTTGGCCGAAACTAACGGTGGTTTTTTTCGCCCAGGTTGTTGGAATCCCCCGCCCCATCAACTGTTTTCAATACTGTTTTCAGATAGCACTTCCATCGAAATAACTGCAGGACTACTGAACATATTTTATGTGCCTTATGCGTCTTGCGGTGCCTGGCAGATTAGTCCATGACGTTTACCATGCATAGTGTACGAGTTCAAACATTTTATCTTACAGTAATCAAATCTGTCCAAAATTTTTGGACAGACTTGGGTTTACTCTGTTAATAGAGCTGCGAATAGAGCTCCAACGCATGTAGGCTTGAAGTTAACGAGGGGCAATCGATGTGGTTTTTCAAAGTTTACAGTACTGCCTCGCGCAGCATCTGTCTGCGCTCGCTTTTTGTCAATTTCCATTGTTATTCCTTGCGGCGAGTCTGGCTTCGTGCTACCTACACTTCCTCCTGCTGCTTCCAAATGCTTTGGAAAGCTGGGTTAACGATTGGCTTTACCTTTAGCAACCCGAGTCGAAGCGCTGTGGTTCATTCGCTTTGTAGTAACGGCACTTTTGTTTACTCGGGTTACAACGAGGTAAAGCCGACTGGATATCCGAACTTTGAAGTGAGACATTCCAAGCCGAAAAAAGAAACACGCATGGCGGAGTACATGAAAGTAAGCAGAACAGTACTCTTCAGCAACCTGTACTCGTAGTACGTGATTGCCCCACTAGGGCGCTGTGGGAAGACTTCTCTTTAGTCAGTATGTCAAGTCACGTGAACCGACACAAAGGCGGCTGGTTTCTCAGGCAGTTCTCTCCATATCTATAGCGCACTTGCGACATGAATTGAAAGTTTTTCATGAAAATGATGCGACTGTAAAGAACAAAGCGCACAAGCGCGAGGTACACACTTTTTTGTGAATGCAAACAGCTTACAAAAAAAAAACATGCCTTCCATTAAACGAAGGTTTTCGAACCTTCGTATTCGGCAAGGCATTTCAGTTGAGACCGTATAATACAAAGCTGGACAGTATTCTTTATGAGGCACATGGGACATCCAATATGGCTTCTTTGTCCATTAACATGGTGCGCAATGAATTCATGTTTCTTATGTATCGCATGACACACTAAGTTTACATACAGACAAAATGTATACAAAGAACATATGCTATACAGAAAAAATATTTGTACAAGAAACTACGGTATTTGATTTATGCTATATTTTCATTGCTTGTCGGTTAAATGAAAACGTTCACAAGAATACGAACGTAAGCGTCTTAATCTAATGAATAATTCTAAGTGCGTCTTTTCACGAAATGCATTAAGTTAGAAGGACAAATCTACGTGTACCTGAAGTTTACGCAAAAAATGCAGCCGCCCTGTTTAGAACTTAGACAACGTTTCTTGACAAAGAAAGTTTATGGCACTATAAACGTCGAATCGTCCACAAGGCAACCAATGCGTCGAAAATAAAGAGCGTTCACCATTCGCGCTGGTAGTATTTCATTTTAAGTGACCGTACCATCAGCATCAGGTGACGTATACGCCGCTCAATTACGTAAAAATCACAAAAATGTCCGCAAGATAACTTGATTTCCTTTCTATCAACGCTAGCTTGAAAGTGTTCGTAGATCGAGCTGCGCCACACATTCAGTTCGATGCATACACGTGGTGCGGCCAACAATTTCAAAGTACGGTGGCGGCCCCTAGCGGAGAAGGCGACAGGGTTCGCCGGCCGCCATGGGCGTATGGGCCGCACAACCGTAGGAGTCCGCGAAATGCATGAAGTGGCGCAGAGCCATGTTGACGCGTACAGAGGCTGGCAGGCGTCGATGCGCCTCAAACTGGTGCGACTCATAGACTTCGTCGCTTAGCTCGCAGTGGTCCAGGGCGTAGTAGAGGAAAAAGAGCTGGTCCGCCGTGACGCCCAACAGTGTGGAATACTGGAAGTCGCGATGCCAGATGCGACGCACGCCCATCAGGTTCCGGAAGGCCATGAACGCCAGCTGGAGGGCCAGGACCTTAACGAAGCGAAACAAAGATACAAAGCCTGTTGGTGTACGCACGTGTCGTTTTCAGCTGTAAATAAAATATAATAAAAACTAAAATAAAAGGACCCATGACACGGTCACGCAACACTAAGTTGGAAGTAGAAGCAGAGGGTCTATTGGTGCATAAACGTATGTGCAAAAAGCTACAGCCAGAAATATTTCAGGGCAAAACAAGCGCTTCAAGTCGCCGGCTGTAAATCTTGCCCACCGCTAGCAGCCGCGGCTTTACCGTGGAGTGTGTGACGTCGTACGCAGCATGGAGTAGAGCCGGGGTCTTCTATAAAAGTTATAGCCTCTCAGAATCGTTAACTTTCAATAACAAGCTGAAAAAAAAAAGCTTGAATATCCCAATGACACGTGTGACTGACCACGGAGCGATCATTCGCCGGAACGCAGACACTCGCTTAGCAAGAAGCTTTTTTTTACGTCAAGGCCCTCAAGTGCACCAGTGTTGCCAAATTTTGAGACCACTTGCGTGCATATAAAAATGACTTTGCAATTCAAGTGCTCGAAAATATGCGTGTCACAACCTTATTCGTGGACGCATAAGGATTCACGCACATGTCAAACATTATTGAAAATCGAGGTTATCACCTTTTTTTTTCTTCCTTGTGTACATCAAACAATCATTCGAAAATTTAGTCACACTACAGAAGCAAGCCCTACGGGCTATTGCTGATGTACCTTATAATGAGCAGACGCGCGACCTATTTTTGAAGTTCAAAATTACCCGAGTTGAACATTTTTATGAGTATGAGCTTATAAGTTCTTTTAAACAAGAAACGATTAAGGGCAGTACTCATATGAGGAACATCGCTAACTTGTTAATCAATCATATCGCATGAACCGACACATCGAACATTGGGCAGTTCCGCGACCACGCACAAAATACGGTTTTCAAACACTTTCCTACCGCCTTCCTTCAATACTAAACAAATATAAATTAAGTGATGACAACATACGTCTTATTTCCAAGAAGAGAATGCTTCAACTAATTTTATAAACACAAATGTTTGTTGTTTATCATTGTGTCTGTTGAGGATGTTTGTTTCATACTTTTTGCTTCTTCTTTTATCGCTCTGCTTTATGTATTTCTATTTTACTATTGTGACAAGTAAGAATGCTTGTTAATGTTTGCTGCTGCTGTTGTTATTCTGGGGGCTGGGACAAGTCAAGCTGCCTACATGCAGCTTTTATCCCACCATCCTTGTTGTTTAAACATGTTTTGATATATGTGGCTATAAAATTCACTTCACTTCACTTCACTTCACATCTGGCATTGACAGAAAGTACCCGTGCCCACCTGTTCGAGCAGGGCGTTGCGCACCCGGTCAACGTCGAGTCCGTAGGGGAAACGGCGTCGCGCGTCGCAGAGCAGGCAGTCGAGCGCCTCGTCAAAAGCGCGCTCCGCTTCCTCGGTGAAGTACAGCGGAATCTCCAGCTCGTACACGGTGCCTTCGTACAGCAGCTGTGACAGGCCCGCGTACAGGCGCACCGCGAAGCGCGACAGGTGCAGTGCGAAGACCGTGCCATCCGTGGGCACCGAACTGTTGACCAGCCCGACGGGTATCTGAATCAGCTGCAGGCACAGCCGATACCGGGCCCAGACGGACAATGGTGACGCCAGACCGACGGGGAGCAGGCTCTTGCCGTACTGGACACCGGAAAAGGGGAACCGTACTATATGTGAGGGTACGCCTAACCCAGAAACATAAAAAGAGGAATAAAATCCCTACAAAAAAGTGTTCAAGGCAAGGAGATACGATCTCCGTTCACCGTGTGTACGGGAGTACTCTATTGTAAATAGTTGGGGATAAGAGTTATCGGACAATGCTCGGTTGCCTGTGCTTTACCCATGACACTGCCTTGGCGAGTGACTGAAAAAATGAACCGCTAAGCGTGATTACTAAACTGGGCCGGCGAATCAAAACAAAAAGAAATACACAAGTTCGTAATGCTTTATGCAATCTGCCTTTCTCATTCGTCGTTTTTTTTAATAATCATAAACGGCTGAGGTCAACCACAGCTAGCACTACCTATACCAAACTCATAAATTACAACACATCTATTGAAAATTAGTAAAGTAAAATTTATGTGTTGGCATTCCTAATGAAAGCTCCAGAAACGCAACTTAGCAAGCCTAAAGTGTTCTTCCCGCTCCTTCACACACACGCTTAGACAAAACAGGTCACAGTAATCACGAAATTACACAAAAATTAAGAATGTCCTGCAATATCAATGCATGGTATTTTTCAATTTTACTCACCCACACCTGCTATTTCCCACCGAAATTGAATATTCCTACATAACCATAATATTGACTATGATACTAATAAACACATTAAATTGAATAATGGGGGCCTCACTTATACGACATGTAACACGACAGAGAACATAAAAAAGTGCCCAGCACCTGACTGAGTATCTCCGTTTGCCGCAGACTGACCGCACCTACGAAAGCATCCATGGCCTTAGGTGTGCCTCGAGTAGAGACTTCCTTGCATTCGTCTAGTGTCTTGGCTGGAAAGAACCTCTCGAAGCGGTGGTGGCGCATCTTGTAGTGAACGAAGAGCGACGTGAGGTTGTCCATCCAAGAAACGCCACGCACGTAGCCAACGAAAAGTGTCTCCAGCTGGGACAGCCACAGGGACAGCTGTACGTCCTTGTGCACCTTTTGAGAAGCTGCCAAGATGCATGCCGGGTACGCCTGTATCGTAGCGCGAAGGCAAAGCCGCTCCGTGGTCGGGGCCTCGGCACGACCCATAGTGTACACCGAGTGAAGCGCGCGTAGTTGAGTGAACCGGTCCGGCAGAAACGGAGCCAGTGACACCAGGGCGAGAAGACCAAGGTAATTGAGCATCGCTCGAGGTGGTGCGCTGTTTACGGTACTGTCGATGTCACGTCGCACCAGTTGACCCCGGTGCACCATTATTCGAGTACCGGCACTAAAGGATGTCACTTTCTCAAATACGACGCCCATGAATGCCTGCACGCCCTTCCCCAGTGCCCCAAAACTATCGACCTCGAAGTCGAGTGGTGAAGTTCCCAGGTCATCCAGATGAAGCAGCGAGAGTGCCGCAAGAGCGATCGACACGTCCGTGCCAGCGGCGTTGGCAGCAGCGGGATCCTGGGGAATGAGCTCTTGCACGGCAGACTTGACTGCGTCTGTGAAAAGTGCCATGACTCGATGGTTTGAGACGTCCTTGGCGTAGAAGATGGTCCCCTTAGGGGGTCCCACCTCGATGATTGTCTTGTCCAGGTCGCGCGGCTCCAGGCCGATTTCGACACCCACAATCGAGGGAACCCCGAGGACTCTCAGCAGCTTGCCAGCGAACCGCCACACATCATCCGGTGTGCCTCCAGAACTGGCGGTGCGGGGCCATTCGTAGCCCCAGCTGCGGAACAACTCTTTCGCACTCAGAAGCACCGCGTCAGCGTCGGCTTGGTTCGTACATAGCTCGTGCATTGTGCGCGCCGGTGTCACGTCGGCGTGCGTTGGATCCTTGATGTACGCCAGCAAGCGGTCCTCCATGGCCCTTTGTAGCAGGGTGTCAGTGGACACAGCGGCGCCAGGCTGATTGTCGCGCAGCGGAGTTGCGTACTTCTTCCAGGCCTCGCATACGTACTCGTAGAAGTCATCACAAGCCCGCTTGGAGGACTTCGATGTCAGGCTTCCTAAGTACTCGCCTTCCTTTTTGCAGTACTCGGTATAGCAGATATACACGTCACTAAGCGGCTTTTCTGTAGAGCGTGTGGACCCTGTAGGTCCGACAGGACCGGTAGGGGACGTACTGCCGGTGGGACCAGCCGGTGGGCCACTAGGCGACGTTTCGTCGCTCTCGGTAGGTGGCTCCGTGCTGTGGTCGTGGTCGTGGGAGCCTCCACCAGCGCTGGTCGTAGTGTCACAGCCGGGCCTGACGCCGTGCTTGACCGCGGCGCTCAGGATGAGAAACAGAATCCAGAGGATGCAGAGCAAGGCGAGAAGAATGACTAGCCTGCTCTCCGGAAACAGCTCTACCGAAGCAAGCTCGACGTCGCGCATCTCCTTGTCCATCTGATCAGCCTCCTTGTCCGCCTTTAGCTTCTGCTCATCGATCAGCTCGGCATTGTGCGGTGAGACGGCGGCTTTAGGTGGAGGACCAGTTGGACCCGGAGGAGCCGACTGAACGGCTCGGACCACTCCTGTTTCCGGGTCGGCCTCCATGACTGAAGCATGCGATACCTCGCTGGCGCTTCTAATGCCACTTTCCTCCACTTGATCTTCGTTCTCAGTAGCCTGTGAAAGAAAATGTCGAGCCAGTTCTACGGCTTTCAATCAAAGAATGAACGTGGTTCTGCTAACACACCACTGCCCATCAAACACTCGTTTTACACACCACTGCCCGTCAAACACTCGTTGTTTTTTTTGCATAAAAACAAAGCCGCTGAAAGGTGTGAATCGAAATCCCCGAGTTGAACATACAAAATTAATTTAAGTTTTGCGTATGACGAACACAAAATGAAATGAAATGAAATGAACAGATTTTATTTCTGTAGATAATACAGAAAAACGAAGCGAAGCTAAAGGCCATTCGGCCGGACGTGGCTTCGCTACGCGAAAAAAGTTCAGCAAACAGTGCTACATTGAATAATAATTATCACAATACAAGGAGCAGCATAATAACAAACACACAGAAATAGCATAAAAGCAAAAAGAGGTGACATATAAGTACAAAAAGTAGACTGCATAGACACAAAATTGTTGCTTTGATATACCGCAATCACTAATGTTGTAATGTAATGACTCTTGTTTTTTCAGTACAAGATGCGGCAAACCACTCTTTTCTGTGAGTCACTTACAAACCAATAAACGGAGGATTATTTACAGAACCTTATATTATCGCTGTTTCTGGAGATAAAGACAATACGACACTAAAGAACCTGAATTATAATGCTTTCTGGGACTCAGAAGTTGTCTCTTGAACCTTTCATGAGCGAGCCGTTCATCACTACTGTAGTATCGTAAGGGCGAAGAATAAGACGATGCATGGCCAGAACAAGAAGGAACAATGTTTATTCACGAGGCTGCTGTCTTGGTTTTAATACCCTGGCCCGAGGCCGGAGCATGCGCCGTGGCGAGGGGTGGAGGCACGTGTTATCGGTATGTTCTTCGGCGCGTGCACCCGATAATCTACGATATATCACTTCCTCCCCTCTGAGCTAAAACCTACCCGGCGGCTTGCGGGCACGGGTGGAGCGTCGGAGTGGGAGTGGTTCTGCCGTGGACCTTGGACTTGCTGGCTCGATGCCACCGCCAGACGCTTCCTCACCAGGCTCGGAGAGACCGGCCTGAAGGGCTTCGCTGCTAGTTGACTGGATGCCGCTGGATGAGAGTGGCAATTGCTCCATGGCCATTGGCGTTTTGCACGGTTCTTTCTTAATCGGTGTCGGCGAGTCGCGTGGTCGTACTTGATCGACGTGTCTACGTTGCACCCCCCTTGGCGTGTTAACGGTTAACAATCACTTGCCTTCGACTGTTGTCACGGTTCCGGGTAGCCACCTTTGACCTAGCTGACTGTACTGTCGACTCCACACCTCCCTTCCTGGTGCAAACTCTTTCTTTCCAGAGTTCGGAACTCCGTTGACGGTAGCCTCCCTCTTCGCCCCGTCTTCCTCTGCCAGGTAGGTGCTCAGGCGGGTCCGTGGTTGGAATCCAAAAAGCCTTTCCGCGGTCGACTGCTCCTCTCGGGTCGGTGTTGTCCTGTAACGCAACAAAAATTTGGCAAGCCGACTTTGCAGCGTTCCCACCCGATTTTTCTTCAGGCCCTCCTTGATGGTGCGTACTGCCCGTTCCGCCAGACCATTGGATTGCGGGTAGTATGGGGCCGTCGTTACGTGGCGCACCCCATTTTCCCGGAAGAACCGCGCTGTCTCTGCACTGGTGAATTGTGGACCATTATCCGACACGACAGTCCGTGGTATGCCAAAGCGCGCGAAAATGGACCTAAGTGTGTCTACCGTAGTCGCTGCTGTCGCCGTCTTCAAGGGCACTGCTTCGATCCACTTAGTCTCGGCGTCGACGAGGACGAAGATCATATGCCCTTCCACGGGACTAGCAAAATCCACGTGTAGGCGGTACCACCGTCTGTTGTTCTTTGGCCAGTTTGCCGGGACCTGCGCTGGGGGCATGGGCAAACACTGCACGCATTGGGGACACCGTTTTGCAAGCATTTCAATTTCACCGTCTAGCCCTGGGTACCAGAAAATTGAGCGCGCGAGGTTCTTCATTGCCGTCATGCCTGGGTGCGTATCGTGCAACTCTTTCAAAACAAATTGCCGGGAAGCTGTAGGCAGAACCACACGGTGGCCCCAGTAGAGTATCCCGTTACTCACGGCCAATTCATGCCTCCGTGCAAAATACGGTTGGTACTGCTGTTCCTCTGAACCGAGACGCCTTGGCCAGCCTTGCAAGATCCAAGTCTTCACTTGCTGAAGTACGTCATCTTTGCTGGTGTGGTCTGAAATACTCTGCGCAGACAAAACAAAATCATCCATAGCCTGCGCATGCAGGACATATTCGGCTAGTTCATTTTCCCAGCCATTATCGCGAACCGGTAATGGCAACCGGCTTAGAGCGTCGGCATTTGCATTTAGCTCTCCTTTTCTGTATTCCAAGTCGTATTGATAAGCTGCTAAGAGCAGCGCCCAACGTTGAATGCGGGCCGCTGCCATTTGCGGAATGGGTTTATCTGGACCTAGCAAACCAGTCAGAGGCTTGTGATCAGTCACCAGAGTGAACTTGTTGCCAAACAAATAATCTCGAAATTTTACAACGCCGAAGACCAGCGCTAGTGCCTCCTTTCCCAATTGTGAATAATTACGTTCCGCCGACGTTAGAGTTCTCGAGCGGAACGCTATGGGATGATCCACTCCTTGTATGCGGTGCGACAAAACTGCGCCTATACCCTCGGCCGACGCATCACACTCAAGCCGCAAGGGTTTTTGGGGGTCGTAATGCACAAGAAAGTTCGCCCTTCTCATGGCGCGGCCCCGCCGCGGTGGTCTAGTGGCTAAGGTACTCGGCTGCTGACCCGCAGGTCGCGGGTTCGATTCCCGGCTGCGGCGGCTGCATTTCCGATGGAGGCGGAAATGTTGTAGGCCCGTGTGCTCAGATTTGGGCGCACGTTAAAGAACCCCAGGTGGTCAAAATTTCCGGAGCCCTCCACTACGGCGTCTCTCATAATCATATAGTGGTTTTGGGACGTTAAACCCCACAAATCAATCAATCAATCAATTCTCATGGCGCGCTTGGTTTCTTGGAATGCTGTTTTCTGTGCGGGCCCCCAACACCACAGTGCTCCTTTAGACAAGAGTCGGTGTAACGGGGCCAAAGTGGACGACAAGTTCGGTAGAAATTTGGAATAGTATGTGACCAGTCCTAAGAATGATTTAAGCTGGCTTACCGAAGTCGGTGGCGGTGCCGCTAGCACTGCTTCCAAATTGTCCTGCAGTGGGTGGAGGCCTTTTGCATCGATTCGGTGCCCTAGAAATACCACTTCTTTCTCCCGGAAGTGGCACTTCTCCTTGTTCAGTGTTAGGCCGTTCGCCCGAAGTCGTTCGAACACTTGCCGCAGTATCGTTGTGTCATACTCTTTTTCTGCTACAATAATGTCGTCCAGGTAAACTTTCACCCCTGGTATACCCTGCAGCACGGCTTCTATGCGCCGCTGAAACAGCGCAGGCGCTGAGGCAATGCCAAAAGCCAAGCGGTTGTAGCAGAAGAGGCCTTTGTGTGTATTCAACACAGTTATCTTCTTAGCATCATCATCCAGGGAAAGCTGGTTGTTTGCGTTTCGTAAGTCGAGTGTGCTGAACACTTCGCCTCCTGATAGCGCCGCAAAGATGTCGTCAATTTTCGGAAGCGGGTACTGCTCTGTTCTTGTCGCTGGATTAACTGTTAGCTTAAAGTCCCCACACAGCCGGATGTCTCCGTTCTTCTTTACTACGGGCACGACCGGTGTTGCCCATTCAGCCACGCTCACTGGGGACAGCACGCCTACTTCCACCAGTCGGTCAATTTCGGCGGAGACTTGCGCTCTCATGGCATACGGGACTGTCCGAGCCTTCAGAAATCGAGGTTGCGCACTTTCCTTGAGGTACAGCTTCACCGGTGGTCCCTTACAGCATCCGAGGTTCTCATAGAGGTCCGGAAACTCGTCAAGAAGTGCGGTTAGCTGGCTGTCGGCGTGAACAACATTCACCGAAGACGACGTGCCTTCTACTAGCAACATGCCTGCTTTGCGAAATTCCTCTATCGTGTCCCTTCCGCACAAAAGGGGCCCTCGATGGTCCACTACTATCAGCGAACTGCTCACCGTTACTGGTCCAAGCTGTACCTGCATGTCTACCTTGCCAACGACCGGCAACGGTCCCAGGAAACATGAAAGGCGTAGTGGAGTTTTTTGCAGAGCCGGCCACCACTTGCGATGCTTCTTGTACAAGCTTTTGGGAATCACGCTTACTGGTGATCCAGTATCGACAATCATTCGCAGCCTACGGCCTTCCCACGTTAAGGTGCGCTCGATTGGCTGCACCAAGTGCTTATTGGCGGAACTGTGTGCAACGAGAGCATACAACCTCTCTTCTTCGCTTTCACATTCGGTTCCGTCGACAGTAAACGTTCCTGACCTGGGGGTGTGGGGTCTTTTGCAAGCCCTAGGAAGATGCCCTCTTTTACCACATTGATGGCATATGGATCTGCGATGTCGACAGGACGCCGTTGCATGTGCCCCTTTGCATCTGTCGCATGAGCTGCAATTCTTCCTCCACTGTCTGCCTTGTTGCTGTATCACGTTGACGCCGCCACCTTCGGTCCGGGCGTATGAAGTACGCATGCCCCGAGCGTCTTCGTTCGCTTTCTCAGAAGCTAAGGCGAATTCTTCGGCTTCTTCACGAGTCAAGTTCTTGCGGCCCAGCAGGCACCGGCGCGTTTCCTCATCCCGAATCCCACAAACGATTCGGTCCCGCAACATACGGTCCAGTGTCGCCCCGAAATTACAATTTACGGCCAGTCTTCTCTGTTCAGCAATGTAGTCCCGGACGCTTTCTTGCTCATCTTGTTTTCGCATAAAGAAAGAATAGCTTGCTGCTATTTCGTTTGCCTGAGGGTTGAAATGTTCTTCCAAGCATTTCACAACGTCATCGTACGTCAAAGAGTTGATGGCGACCCCCGGCTGGTGCCCTTGCAATATCCGGACGACACTGTCGCTCAACGACGAAACCAGTAGGGCGC